GACGTGGGGCTCAATCCCAGGACCTGGAGATCATGACCTGAGCCTAAGGCAGACGCTTAACCATCTGAGCCACCCAGGCGCCCCTCACAGTGATTCTTAACGGAGTCCAGGCCCCAGGTCCTCCTCGGCCCTGGATATACTGAGCTCGAGAAAATATCCTGAATTCTCTGAATAGCTTTTGTTTTGTTTAAGCTAAACTCAAATGTTTCCAAACCAAACAATTCCAAAAGCAGCTCCTCTCCTTCTATCATCTCCTAAACACTGACGTTCCCCAGAATTCTTTCCTAAGACCCCTTCCTCAGCCATCCCTTGCCAGGGATGTCCGGTGGAAATGGAATGCAAGCCACTTATGTGATTTGAAGTTCCTAGTAGCTCGTTCTTAAAAAGAGGTAAAATTAATTTTAAGTGTGTGTATATATGATAATAATAATATATTTTATTTAGCCCCAGATATCCACATATTACCATTTCAACATGTAATCAATATAAAAGTTATCAATAAAAGTATTTTACAGCTTTCAGTCCATAGTAAGTCTTCAGAGTCTGGGGTGCGTTTTACCCTATTAGCACATCTCCGTTGGGACTGGCTGAGCTCAAGCCCTCAGCAGCAGGTCACAGCCACCAATCAGACAATTCAGAAACACTCCAGGGCCGCGACCGCCAGCTGCAGAATCCACTATTCTCAAATCTGTATTTAGATGTTTGGAAGAGAGCTTACTAAACAGGAGAGAGAGCGTGTTACACCCCCCTGCTTCAACATTTCAGTGACTTCCCAGTGGGATGAAGTCTACACTCTTGTTACAAGGCCGGTCCCACTCAGACCCCAACCCGCTCAGGCCCCAATCTGCCTCGACTGGCTTCAGTTTCAATACCTCCACCTCCCACCTGCAATGTAGCCTCATTCCACTCCTGTCAGTTCCCAGACTGCACCAGCCTCCCCTTACCCCCTGCCTTTAGTACACGCCCAGCCCTTGATGGTTCCCACCCATCCCCCAATGCACTTGGCTGGGGCTCAGTGGGCCACGGGGTAGCTTGGCTGGGGCTCAGCCCGAAGGGAGGAAAACTGGGCTCAGGTAGGAACACTAGCCCCGCCGCCCCACTCCCCCAACTTCCAACTGTCCAGAATTCAGGGTGGTTCCCAGGATGTCCTGGCCATAACCATTCCTGAGCTGTTTCAGGGTGTTTATTGTGAAGACATGCAGGAAGGTGAAAGGAAGATGCCCGGGAAAGCGCTTCCCAGTCACGTGGTCAGGACACCTGGTGAATCGGGATGCCGGTCAGGATGCACACGGCCCATTCTTCTTGCCGTTCCCAAGTCCCCAGCTTGGATTCCACCTTTTCCATCTCTGCGGCTCCTCTAGAGCTCCGGCTCCTCCTGCTTTCCCTAATCCCTGCTCTCAGTCCCTGAACTCAGCCTCCAACTGGCTCAGGGACTTGTCATCCAATATGGAGCACCTCTCTTGGGCAGAATCGTCATGCTGAGCCACTGCATTGGTTACTCGCCTCCTGTCCAGGCTTTCCGTGGCAGTTTGGGATGCATTTCTAATTTCTGCACCATTCATTGCCCAGGGTAACCAGGCCATGAGACATACAATTCACAGTTTGGCTCCTTGCTCAGAGTGTTGCCATGTGCCGGGTGTAGGCACTTGGAGTTTGCCTGACTTCTCCCCAGGCCGTTCATTTCAAATTCACACTTAGGACTTGTGATACGAGCAAGAGCATTTCCTCTGACCTGTAAATCATTAATCTGAAAAACCTCACAAAACAACCAAAATCAAAATCGCATGTAGTGACACAGTTTAAATCCCATTTAACAGAATAAAATTATAAAAAAAAAAAAACCTGGATGTCTCAGAAAATCTGAGATATGTGATGGCTGTTAACATGATAGAAAGAGCAATGGAATCGAGAGGGCTGAGATCTAGATGGGTCTGCTGTGTGATCATGACAAATCCCTTGCCTACTCTGAGCCCTGGTCTCCTTATCTGTACAATGAGTTTTCATGTGAGCGACAGCATTTGTCTGATGGTATGTGGTTCTGTGGCACTTGGCCAATCAGAAGTCCCAGATTTGACCCCTTCTCGGTGAGCATGGCCAGAACTGAAGTCCACATTCCAGTCAGTCCAGGGAGTCCAACTCTGAGTGTTTAATGACTCAGAATGTCCCTAAAGGATATTTCTCATTCTGCCAGTCATGGGAGCACTTCCATCCAGAAACCCTCCAGGAGCTGGGGGGCTGGTGGGAAGTCTCCTTGCTAGACAGATGATCCCAGGAGCCAACCACAATGGAGTCCCTGGAGTCTCCAGAGCCTTTTCCAGGCTCAGCTTGGCTTGGAGCTGGTCAGGCCCTAGGGAGGGGGTTCTTCTCAAAAGCAGGGTTGGGCGCATGCTCAAAAAGGGAAGGTGCTTGTAGGACCTCCATCTCCCCCACTGCCCTCAACACTCCTCCCACGCCCCCACGAGGGCACCAAGTCCTGGCAGGAGATTGGCCCCAGAGCCCCCAAGCTGTTTGTCCAGCTGTCTTCACATCCCCAGGCCACAAGGTTCTTATATACCTTGGCCTAGAGAACGGTGTCAGGCATCTGGACACCCACTGGGTCCCAGCCCAGAACCAACACTGGGTGGGGGGAAGGAGGCTGGGCTGAGTTATGTCCCTCTCTGGGCCTCCCTATTCTTTTCTGTACATGAGACTGGATGAGCCTTAAGACGTCTTTAGCCGGGCATTGCTCACCTCTAAACCTGCAAGAAACCACCTGGCTTTGAAGTTAGACAAAATAGGTCTGAAGCAGTCTAAGACTTCACGTATCCCAGCGCCTCAAAAGATAGTAAACACCCTCCCAATTTCATACACGAGACTGTAGCTTGCGTAAACTGTACAACGATGGCAGGGCATCCTGAGTCCTTACAGGAGAAGTCAGAAATAAAACTGCTTCCCCTCAACAATAAGACTTGGAGATTTATGCCTGGGAACACTGAGAAATACTCCCTCTCTTCACGGCCCTTTGCATCAGCTAATTCTTATGGGGCTTGGATATGTCCCACAAAACTCCAGAACCCTAACCATCTATGCTGTTCAGACATATGCCAAAGAACCTGGTGAAGTGGGATGGACAGACAGCCCATAGAAGGCAGGAAAGAGGGAGGGACAGCCAGAGACCCCAAATGGAAATACCCCACAAAGAAGAGTCTGGCAGGAAACCTCAAATCAATAATTGAGTTAGAACATGGTAGAGAAGAGTGTTGGCCTGGACCCAGGAAGGTCAGGGTCCTGATATGGCTCCTCCAATGGCAAAATTGGCTAGGTATGCCTGGGAAGTGCAAGGGTTGCCATGCTTCAGGGTCCAAACTACTCTGCTGTAGTCCAGCAGAACGTGGAGGAAGAGGAGTTCTCCTCACCTTGCAAACATTTCCCCTACTCCAGTAAGAGCATGTGCATTCTTGGAAGTATTTTGGTAGAAGTCATCTGTATGCCTGGAATATCCCTGGCCAAGCAGGTATGGGACTGATCATTATTCAAAATAAGTCTGAGACGTCTCTTAAGGTAATGTCTGGAGACATTTTTTGGTTGGATTTAGATCGAAGTAAACTGACTCAGAGTCCACGTTTCCTATACCATGCACTATGCAAATTAAAAGCAAGAAGTTGTTGAGGTGTCTGTGTGGCTCAGTCAATTAAGCATCTTGATTTCAGCTCAGGTCTTGATCTCGGGGTCGTGAGTTCAAGACCCTCACCGGGCTCTGCACTGGGTATGGGGCCTACTTTAGGAAAAAAAAAAAATTCAATTCAGTAAAAGCAAGAAGTTGCCACTGACTCTATTGGCATTCCCAACCCATGATCCAGCCAGTCAGAACTCACAGAAACCCACCCAACCAGAACTCGGCACTGCCCTGATCTTGGATGATTGGGGCTCAGCAGCCAAACCATTGGAGGAAAACAAGTGATTGTCTTTGAGTTGTGGCTGCAAATAAAATAAGTTCATGCTCAACTGAAAAAATTAAAACAAAAACAAATTATGGACAGAGATAAGACAAAAGGAAAATTTTGGAAACAGAAAACGCCAGAAGGTAAAAGCTGAGACCCTGAAAGACTCGATCTAGATCATGTACGAATGTTGGTCTTAGGTCCCACTCCTTCAAAAGTAGCCTCCGACCTCTTTAGTTACTTCCATCTGAACAAAGCTGTGGTCCCATGAGATTTGAGCTGTCCCCAAGAGATCAGAGACTGGGGTTGCCAATTTTAGCACATAAGAATACAGGATGCCCAGTTAAATCTGAATTTCAGACCAGTGAATGATTTTTTTTAGTATAAGTGTGTCCCGCATAATATTAGGGATATACTTACACTACAATAAAATGTATTTGTTGATCCGACACTGAGAGTTCTGTATTTTCTCTGGCAACCCTTCTCAAAGACAGACTGCTTGGATCCTGTCCACTAAAAAGGACAGAATCCCTTCAAGAGGCTACCACACTTCCCAGAGCCCAGTCTTCTCACTAAAAGGAAGACAGTAAGGTCCCACCTGGCCCCCTCTGGCCCCCCGGATGTCCGGACACGCCCTCCCAGTACCTCCCCTCTCACCACCCCCATTCCAGTCCACTCTCCTGCCCTTTATACCCACTTGGAGAATTTCCACTGACACAAGGACACTCAGAGGGTTAATCCTTCTGATACCAAGTCACACTTTAACTCATTCCCTCCAGGCCAAGGATTAAATCCTGCCCATGCAGGGGTCAGGGCTACGGCAGACCCTGAAAGCTGAGCACCCCACCCCCAAGTGAGGGGAGGCTCAAGGGAAAGGGAGGGACAGAAGACAGAGAGAGCGAAGGAAGGAGGGGCAGCCAGCCAGGCTCCTGTCCCCCCACAGAGCCAGCTCCGATTCGGCTCTAGGAACAACTCAGCTGCGGAGGCAACAGCTGCTTCTGTGCTCCAGCTAAGGACGGCAGGCTCAGGGACACCCAGACAGAAGTCCTCAGCTCTCAGCCGCTTGGCCGGCCCGGCCCCATGGCCTTCAACGACCTCCTGCAGCAGGTGGGGGGTGTCGGCCGCTTCCAGCAGATCCAGGTCACGCTGGTGGTCCTCCCGCTGCTCCTGATGGCCTCCCACAACACCCTGCAGAACTTCACTGCGGCCATCCCTCCCCACCACTGCCGCCTGCCTGCCAACGCCAGCCTCAGCCGGGGCGGGGAGCTGGAGGCCTGGCTGCCCCGGGACGGGCAGGGGCAGCTCGAGTCCTGCCTCCTCCTCACTGTCCCGCGACAGGGACCGCCTTTTCCCAACGGCACAGAGACCAACGGCACGGGGGCCACAGAGCCGTGCACCAATGGCTGGATCTATGACAACAGCACCTTCCCGTCTACCATCGTGACCGAGGTGAGGACACCTGGGCCCCCAGCTCCAGAGGCCAACCAGACTTGCCTTCCCCTCTGAGACAGGCAGACAGATGCACACATACACACACACACAGATTGTCCCAGATTCTCCAAAGGCCAAGATAGGAAGATCAAGAAAGGGACTCAAGATGGGGGCCTTTACAGAAAAGGGGGATGTCAGAGTCAAGAAAAGTCTCTCGGCTACCGGGACCGGGGAAGCAAACAGCAAAGGGAAATGTCAGGGGAAGAGGGTGGCATAGGCCTCAGAGGGCTAGCCCAAGGGAGGGTAAGGGGAGCCCCGCAGCCCAGGCTCATCTCTGCCTGACCCTTGCCCCCTCTCCCCACAGTGGGACCTCGTGTGCTCTAACAGGGCCTTACGCCAGCTGGCCCAGTCCTTGTACATGGTAGGGGTGCTTCTCGGAGCCATGGTGTTCGGCTACCTGGCAGACAGGTCAGTCCTGGGCAGAGCCACAGGGCCGGGCTGGGCCTGGGCCTCAGCTGGGTTCATGGGAACCAGGTGGGAAGTTGGCCTTGAACCCCTGGGGCTGGTCTGAGGACCTACAGGGCCAGCCTCAGGATACAGCACAGGTCCTCAAAAGCCGCCCCCCCCCGCCAGCCCAGAGCCTCCTCCAGGGCAGGCACCCCTCTCCCTACCCGTCCTGGCACGGTCAGCCCTCAGGATCCCTGCTGCTGTTCTCCCCTCCCCCACCCCAGGCTGGGCCGCCGGAAGTTGCTGATCTTGAACTATCTGCAGACGGCCGTGTCAGGAACCTGCGCAGCCTTCGCTCCCAACTTCCCCGTCTACTGTGCCTTCCGGCTCCTTTCCGGCATGTCGCTGGCTGGCATCGCTCTCAACTGCATGACCCTGAGTGAGGGAGGCCGGGAGGGCAGGGCGGGCCTCTACCCACTCCTCTCTGACCCCCAACCCAGCAGCCCCTTTCCGGCTCCCTCTCCCAGCCAACCCCTCCTGAGTCCCACCTGCCCTCGTCTGGGCAGCCAACCTAACAGCCTTCTTCCCTGGACTCATACCATCCTGACCTCTCATTTAGGCATGATTGCAAACTCCATTTTTAGGGCCAGGCTGTTCCCATAAATGACTGAAGCTGACTGGGTACAAAAGGCATTAGGGAACACTGAGGACTTTAGACAAAGGAGGGTCACAGCCCCATCCAGAGGGGCCACAACCACTCAGCTGCTCAAGCCAGAAGGGTCAGGGCTGTCAGATCTTACCCTCTTCTCTTTATTAATGTAAAATATCCCAATTTTGTAATGTTGGAAATTAATTCCATGTTTTTAACATGGGGTAAGCCAGCATCATGTAGACCAAAGACATTTATGGCCTGAGCATGGTCTGTCCATGAGCCATCAATGTGCATTCTTCAAGGAGGAACCTGAGACTGGGGAGAAGGGCAAGGATTTACCCAAGGTCGTCCCTCAAGCCCAGAAGGGAATCTATGGATTGGGGGTCAGGGATGAACCAGGATGGTTCATGAGCTGCTCTGGCCACCGAATTGGCCCATGCTGAGGAAAGCCAGCACTGAGTGGTCAGAGAGGCTCTGAAGGGAAAAGGGACGCTCGCCAGGACAGTAGGTTGGGGAGCAGCAAGACAGAGTGGGGGAGTGGCGGGGACAATTCTTAGGGATTCCAAACCCATCTCCGCCTTCCTTCCTCCACCGAAAGTCTCCCACTTCCCCCATCATGGCACGCATCCTCATTCGACGTGTCTTCCACTGAGCCCTGGGACAGATCAAAGTTTGGGTGGAGAGAGGGGTCTTTGCCCAGCCCAGGGGTGTCGACCTGCTGGGCAACCACTCTGGTCAATGGCACCACTCTGTTCTCACCTTCTTTCTAGATGTGGAGTGGATGCCCATCCACACGCGGGCTTGTGTGGGCACCCTGACTGGCTATGTCTACAGCCTGGGCCAGTTTCTCCTGGCCGGTGTGGCCTTGGCCGTGCCCCACTGGCGCCGCCTGCAGCTCCTGGTCTCCGTGCCTTTTTTCGCCTTCTTCATCTACTCCTGGTGTGTGGGGCCCAGGGTGGGCAGGGGTACCCAAGGGCTGCCCAGAGGGCTGCAAGGGACAAGACATCCCCCAGATCCCACAGCACACTCCAACACACAGATTCAGAGAAGGTCAAGGCCAGAAGGTCAAACCCAGCCCAGTGCCTCCGTGTGACAGATAGGAGAACTGAGGCTGTGGGAGGAAGGATTTACCCCCTCCCCCCCACCCTGGGGATATAGTTCTTCAGCTCCCCCCTGGCTCTCCAACCTGCCTGTGTTTCTGCCTTTACCCAAGACCCCAAAGCTGAGCTTCTGGGTTTGGGAATAGGTCATCACAAAGCTGGTCGCTGTCTTATGGTCCTAGAGAGAGGGATTTGGCAAAACCCCTGGGTTCCCAGCCTGAAATGAAATCCCACTGCAGGCCCCTGGGAAGCCCACCCTTTGCCCCCAGCCCAGCCAAAGGGAATGGAAGCCATGTTGACACCTACCCCCACCCTCCCGCTCCCAGGTTCTTCATCGAGTCAGCCCGCTGGTACTCCTCCTCCGGGAGGCTAGACCTCACCCTCAGGGCCCTGCAGAGAGTGGCCTGGATCAATGGGAAGCGAGAAGAGGGGACCAAGCTAAGTATGGAGGTGAGACCCCCCCAAGGCCTCCCATGACACCCCACGAGGATTCTACCCTCAAACCCCGAACCCAGGTCTCAGAGGGCTTCCCTGAGTAAGGGGTTAGGCTGGGAGGAGTTTCTGGAGGAGTCCAGGCCCTGAGCCCTGCCCATCCTGGCAGGTGCTCCGGGCCAGTCTGCAAAAGGAGCTGACCATGGGCAAAGGCCAAGCTTCCGCCTTGGAGTTGCTGCGCTGCCCCGCCCTTCGCCACCTCTTCCTCTGCCTCTCCATGCTGTGGTAGGCCCAGACAGACCGAGCCATAGAGAGATAGACAGAGACAGACCAAGAGACAGGAGGCTGGTTGGGGAGAGAGTGGACACAGTGGGTGGAAGAGGCCAGACAGAAGGGAGGAAAAGTCAGCGGACCTGCCATGAGGGGCCGTAATCCTCCACCAGGGACGATCTTGAAGAACCAGACGACCTCCCCTCGGTTCACTTCCGGTCGCCACACTGGGCTTCCGTCTCTCCATCTTCTCTTTTTATCCACTCCTTGGCAATATGGAAACACCTCCTCAGGATTGGGATCAGCCCCAAAGTCAATAGAATTACATCTTGAAGGCAGAGACTAGTCTGGCTTGCAAAACATTTGGAGACTTTCCTGATCTTGCCTGATCAGGGCCTGCCAGAAACACAAGCACGGGCAATAAGATGCCTAGAACTCATCTCCAAAAGGACACGTTGACCAAGGCTGGTATCAGCCAAAAATGTTCCTTTCTGGTTGCAACATTCCCCATAATCCTTCTGATGTGCTCCCCTCCTGAGCCCATCACCAGAATAACGCCATGACAGTTAGGAAAAGCGCAGTCAACAATTCTACCAGTGAGTGTTTTGGTTCCGATTTGGGATTTACTCCAGGTTCTGGGTCCTATCCAATAACCTGAGCTTCATTCTGTGGGCTCCGGACAACGTAAGAAGCACAACCATCCCAGAACCAGGCCTAGGTCTGCAAAGCTTTGGCATTTCCTAACACCTTGACTCTAAAGATGTGCCTTGAAAATCCACCTGTCCTCAGCCTGGCATCAATAGATAAGATAAAGACTAAGACTATATGAATTTTACATTCAACTAAGTGAAAAATCCCCTAATATATTGGGGGATACTAGTTATCAGAAGGTTGAGAAATTTGGGGTCTTGGAGGACTACCCTGCACTTAGACTAAATGCTTGAAGACAGATTAGCCAAGGCAAATTCTAGCTTCTGAAGCAGGGTCACAGTGTAGCTCACCCCTATGTTGAAGAGCAATCCCCCCCTTTAACCCTTCCTAACCAACTCCATACCCCTCGTCCCTCCCCCACTAGGTTTGCCACTAGTTTTGCCTACTACGGGCTGGTCATGGACCTGCAGGGCTTTGGCGTGAACATCTACCTAATCCAGGTGATTTTTGGTGCTGTGGACCTGCCTGCCAAGCTGGTGGGCTTCCTTGTCATCAACTCTCTGGGCCGCCGGCCTGCCCAGATGGCCTCACTGCTGCTGGCAGGCGTCTGCATCCTGGTCAATGGGGTGGTACCCCAGGGTGAGCACCCACAAGTACCTTGGTCCTTCATCCTTACCCCTATCCCCAGATTCTCATGCCCCACTCCCAAACTCCCACTGACTCCTTCCTTTCTCTCTAGATCAGTCCATTGTCCGAACCTCCCTTGCTGTGCTGGGAAAAGGCTGTCTGGCTGCCTCCTTCAACTGCATCTTCCTCTATACTGGGGAACTCTACCCCACAGTGATCCGGTGAGTAGGAACCTAGTGGGAGGGGCCTTGAGACAAGACATCCCCACACACATAGGTCAGACCCCAGAGCACACCACCCAGCATGCATAGCCAAGGCCCCCTCTCAGCCCCCATCTGTGCAAGCTCAGTACACACTTCGTGGCTAACACAGATACACCTGCCCGCTAAGCCCTTACCTGATCCAAGGAAAAGATCTCAAAAGGAGTCACCAGCTGGGGCAGGGTAGAGAGCCAAGAAGACACATCTCAGAGGCAATTCATTGAGGTCCCCCCACCCCGCACCCACCTTGATCTAAATCACAAGTTAGAAGCAGCCATCAAACCTAAATTTCATCTATAAGCTAAGTGTGTCTGTAACCAAAGTATGTCTGAAACCAAAGACCAAACAGGAAAGTAATTTCTTATCACAAAAGCCACATTTAATACTGCTTGTGCTTGGTGGCTATACAGATAAACCCAGCATTGCTTTTCAAGTGCCAAGGGGGGGGTGCATTTTTGCATTGAGAAACAAGAAACACGTGTCTATGTTAAAAATGGGTCGCAAAATTCCCATGAGATATCAAAGAATGGCCCGGCTTCCCTAGGCTGCTGGGACTGAGCAGGGTCATGGCTGCTGTCCTGTGCCCTTAGAGGATTTCAGGGGAAAGAACAACAGTATAAAACACTTACTACGCACCAGGCATCGTCTTAAACTTTTTATAAGTATCAACTCATTGAATCCTCATGATATGCCTATAAGGTAGGTACCGTGACCATTCCCATTTTACCAATGAGAAAACTGAGCCACAGAAAGATCAAGTGATTTGCCCCATGTCACACAGCTTGTAAGTGAGGAAGCTTGGATTTGAACCCAAGCAGTCTGTCTCCTGAGTCAAGGTTTTTAACCACAGTTCCCTCAGAGAATGTTCTTAACATAACTCTTAATATGCAGCTTCCGGGTCCTGTCCCCTGGGGATTCTAATCCAATAGGACTGTGTGGGTTGGGACAATTCTAACTCAAAATCCCCTAGGAGATCTGAGAACCACTGGCCTAACTTAACTGTCTCATTTGACAGCTCAGGAAACTGAGGGCCAGAGAGGAAAAGGGACTCTTCCTCTGGTCGCATGGCCAGTTAAGGCCAGAGGCAAAATTCAGTCTCCTGATTCTCTGGCCAGAGCCCTTCCCAGCCTGTTTTTGTTGTTTGTCTGTTTTTAATCTCCGAAACAAATGCCAAATTCACTTGGGGCGGGGGGTTGGGGGGAGGCTTCAGCCTGAGCTGCCCTGACCCTGAATTCAGCTGGGACCTCAGCATTCATGCTAGGGCAGTGACTGACACCACCGCACCTTGGGCCCCACAGGCAGACAGGCATGGGAATGGGCAGCACCATGGCCCGTGTGGGCAGCATCGTGAGCCCACTGGTGAGCATGACTGCTGAGCTCTACCCCTCCGTGCCTCTCTTCATCTACGGCGCCGTCCCCGTGGCCGCCAGCGCTATCACTGCCCTCCTGCCAGAGACCCTGGGCCAGCCACTGCCAGACACGGTGCAGGACATGGAGAGCAGGTGGGAGCAGGGACTTACCCCGGTTCAAACGCCCAGGCGGGGGTGGCACCGACACTCAAACCCATTCAGGCCAGAGCTCTTTGTCCACTTCCCCAGTTGGCTGGGGTCTCCTTGAGTCCTTCCTGGGGGTCCTGGCTCCAGGGAGCAATAGATGGGGCAGAGACAATGGTAGTTGGGCGCGGCTGAGTAGAGAGCCCCTTGGTAGCCCCCAGCTCCTAGCCCTGGCCTGGACACTGCATACCCAGGACGCTGCTCTCCTGCCCCCCAGGAGGAGAGGAAAGCCAAGGCGGCAGGAGCAAGAGCAGCAGAAGCAGATGGTCCCGCTCCAGGCCTCAGCACAAGAGAATCTACTCTGAGCACTGAGACGGGGCCTCACAGAGCCCGAAAGGGAGTGAGGGTCCTGCAGGTCCTGAGCCACCCACTCCGGGAAGGGAAAGGGGAAATGGCGGCCCAGGTGAGGCCCGGGTCAAGGCTGTGGTTCAGGAAAGCACCTCCCAGGGGTCTCCCGCCCTGAACAGACTCCACCAAGACCGCGTCATTAAAAGGTTTTTGTGCAACATCTCTTTTTATCTCTCTCGTCTCAAATGTAATAGCCACTCCACATCAGCCAGCGGCCCCAAATTCATACAGTCCAGTCCCCTGCCCTCAACCCCCAGGACTTTATAAACCATCACAGAAAACTGGAGAAGAATCTTTTACCTGGACCCGCTCCCCCACCCCTACTTCCCACCCTCTTCCCTCCTTTCTTCTCTACCCTATTCAAATATTTCTGTGAGTTTTAAATATCTTACGCTCCACCCCTCCCTATCAGGCTGGAAACTGAAAAGAGTCTGAATGAAAGCAGCCAATCAGAGGCTTTGTTTCAGGCTCCTCCCCCTTCGCAAGGGCCAATGAGAAACTCCAGCAGCAAAGCGGGAGAACAAGCACCACAGAGAATGTGACGTCAGGAGGCTGGCCCCAGCTCCCCTAGACTCCAGCAGAGTCCAAACTCAAAACCAGTTTGCTACTTCCAGCTCCTCTGCTGGATGTTCCGCCCACTCGTTCCCCGAATCCTTCCCACCACCATCCTCCGTGGATATTCTTTGCTCTTCTGCCTCCTCCAGGGCCCCGGGCTAGTGAAGACAAGGGAGGAGGGAAAGGGGAGGGTAGAACCCAACCAGAGAGCGCCAGCACTGAGGGCTACTTTGGTGCCAGGCACTGTCCTAAGCACTTTGCATACACTGATTCGTTTAATCTTCCCAGTAACCTTCTAGAGATAAGTCCTATTGTCATCCCCATCTTGCAGCCCAGAAAATCAAGGCACAGAGTGGTTAAGTCACTTGCCCAGATTCACCAAGTTCAGTAAATTGTGGAGTCAGGGTTTGAATGCAGACAATCTGGCTCCGGAATGCACGGACCTGACCCCTCTGCCCGGACCTGAACCCTCTGCCCCGAGTTGTAAGGCTCTGAGACTTCAGCCTCTGGCACCCTCAAGGCCTGACTTCTTCTCCTCCCTCCTGGCCTGAAAAGAGAGAGAGAAGGTGAAGGGGGAGGAGAAAAATAATCCTGGTAGGAACGATGTGAGAGGAGGAATGGAAGGCAGTTTAGGGGTCACAGTCAGGAAGAGACAAGGATATCCTTCTGATCACTGGGTCAGCAAGGGAGATTATTGCAAGGAAGCCAGTGGGGATGGAAAAGACAGCCCTATTAGCATCCACAGGTGGCAGGAGTCAGGGCACCAGCCATGCCCTGCTGTAGCTGTGCTTGCTTGGTCACACTTGTCTCCTGGTACACTGCCCATTACTCTTTCCCCTGCAGCTGACTCAGCCCCCCAGCCCCTCATCCAACATGGAAAGTCCACACCTCTGAGGCATACACATTGTCTTCCAGGTGGGACCCTAGGGCTCTAGCTGAATCAGGGCAACCTGGAGAGGATCGGGAGACCAGGGCTCCCCTGAAAAAGCCACAAAGCCCTGGGACAGCTCACAGCAGCTCAGACAGCAGGATTTCCAGGGCAAAGTGGACAGAGCTGAAATTATGATGACCCACCCCACCTCCTAGAACATCTGGGGACTCAGTGTTTCCCTTGTGCATATACTCCCCATGTTCCCGAAGAATTTTTAGGCCATTGTAAGATCCAATAGATGCTCAAGGGCTACCAACCCTCCCCCTGATGCTGTTTCTCTGGCAGCACTGACCTCATGGCTGACAAAGGGCACATAGAATGACATCCTCACCAGCCTTGAGCAGGGAAACAGGACCGGGACTGGGAGGGAGGTCATCTGCTTCTAGCCCTGCTTCTGTAGATCTGGAGGCCTGGGGATCAGTGATTTGCCCTGTCCCTGCCTCAAAACCCTGCCAGCAACACAGGCATGCTGTGACTCCTGAGGCCCTCTCATCTCTGTGTTTAGATTACCTGGTATCTGCTCCTGCCTCCACCAGAGACAGTCCCTGGCCTGCCCCTACTGCACACACCCCCAACTGGCCCACTACTGGTGTTGACTCAGATAGCTCACACCATCTGCACAGAACCCATTTCCCCAGCTCCTGGCCAGGGACTTCCTATGCTTACCCCATGCCCTTGACCAAAGGGAACCCTACTTTCCTCCCATTTTGAAGTCACCAGCAAGTGACTTCTGACTATCTCCCCCAAGGAGCCATCTGCAGAACACTGGCTCGCATCCCATCCTTTCACATTGGCCCTGAGCCTGAGGTGGTTTTTTTTTTTTAAGATTTTATTTATTTATTTGACAGAGAGAGAGAGAGATCACAAGTAGACAGAGAGGCTGGCGGGGGGGGGGGCAGGGAGCCTGCTCCCTGCCGAGAAGAGAGCTTGATGTGGGGCTCAATCCCAAGACCCTGAGATCATGACCTGAGCCGAAGGGAGAGGCTTAACCCACTGAGCCACCTGGGTGCCCTGAGCCTGAGTTTTGATACCGTCGTGCTTTGCTCCAATGGTCTCAGATGCTCTACCCAGTTTTAACCACAAAGCCCAACCGTAGCCAGGATTGGTAGGTGGCATTTGTGGCCACCCTCAGTTTCTCTACCTATGGCTCTGAGCACATCCTGGCTAGGATGGCACACTCAGGAGGTTTCTCAAATGCCTGGCCCTGGTAGAGTGCTCACCAGAAGTCACCTCCCTTCCTGAGCTCTGCTGTTGTATCCCAGGACCCACCTCCACAATGCAGGCTTTAGTCCACACCAAGCCCCTTCACTAGGCTCTTCCCTCCTTTCCCAAGAGTTTTCATGGCCCCTTAGAGAATGGATGTCCAATCAGTTCAGCTTTCATATCACATGGAGGCTGAATAATGGGTACCTCCAAAGAAGTCCACAGTCTAATACCTGGAACCTATGAATATATTACCTTACATGGTAAAACGAACTTCGCAGATGAGATTAAGCTAGGGATCTTGAGCTGGGAAGATTATCCTGGATATTCTAGGTTGGCCTCTTATGAATATAGGAGAGAAGCAGGAGACCAGAGTAGGTAATCAGAGATGTGACAACAGAAACCAGAGTTTGGAGTGGTACAAGAAGGGACAAAAAGCCAAGAAACACAAGCTGAAAAATGCAAGGAAATGGCTTCACCTCTGATGCCTCCAGAAGAAACAAATTCCCGCCAACACATTGATTTTAGACTTCTGACCTCTAGAACTATAAGAAAATTGATTTGTGCGTGTTAAGCCACTAAGTTTGGGACAATTTGATGCAACAGCAGTTGGGAACTAATGTACATCCCTTATTCTCAAACTCCTACAGGGGTGTCAAACTGGCCCATAGGGGTTTTGTTTCTCCATGCTCTATTTTTTGGTGGGGATAGGGTTTTACTGTCTGGATCGCCATAGACCTCACCACTCCATATTGTCTTATACCTGATCAGATTCACACATCTATGTTATCTTATGGTGCTTACAGCCATAAAGTTTGGAAGTCCTAAACTACTTTCTGTTAAACCCCCAACTTACCTTCATATGTATTAAAAAATTGTGTGATAGGGGCGCCTGGGTGGCTCAGTGGGTTAGGCCGCTGCCTTCAGCTCAGGTCATGATCTCAGGGTCCTGGGATCGAGTCCCGCATCGGGCTCTCTGCTCAGCAGGGAGCCTGCTTCCCTCCCTCTCTCTCTGCCTGCATCTCTGTCTACTTGTGATCGCTCTCTGTCAAAGAAATAAAAATCTTAAAAAAAAATGTGTGATAAGAAGCAAAAGAAAAGCTCTGGATGGACCCCACTTCCCTCATTGTTCCTCCTCTCTCAAGAAAACCATCTAATAATGTTCTCTGAGATGTGACTGTCTCCACATGCTCATGTTGTAGTCATAGAACTGTGGCTGACTCTATTGCAAAAAGCTGGAGTTATAAGCCAGATGAAATTGAGCCTCAGTCTCCCTGACCAGCTCTAGTGAGGTCTGTTCCAGCTTCTTCTAAACTTTTCCCCTGAGAGAAGCCTACATCCAGAAACAAGTTCCGTGAGCCACACCCACAGAAGAGCACAAACAGCCTGATAGTACTTGAATTGGTCAGGGTTTAGATTTAGGTGGTAAACAATATTGAATCTGGATGGATGTCGAGAACTGTGGCAGCCATCTTGCGACCCAACAGGGAAACCAGAGCAAGGATTACAACAACTGAAAGTGACATAGTAGAAAGATGGAACTAACCTGAGGTTTGATGATATCATTGAGCCTCTGATTTAACCAAACCTGAAGCCACCGACCTCTACTCTAATTGTAGAATTTAAACTTAAATTCTCCTTCCTCTTTAAGCCATTGTGAGTTGATTTTTCTGTGATCTGCAGTTAAAGACATCTTAACTACTATATTTTTACAGCTTTATTGAAATGCGAAAGACAATTATTTGCTCATACTTACAGTGTACAATTTAATAAGTTTTAACAGATGCACGCATCCATGAAACTATCAGCACAATCAAGAAAATGAACTTATCCATCACCACCAAAAGTTTCCTCATGCCCCTTCTTTGTGGACATAGGCTTCCATACCAAGAAATGGAATGGTTAGGTAGTATATTTGGTAAGGTATTTGTTTAAGTTTTTAAGAACAGCCAATTTTCCAAAGTGGTTATAACATTTCACATTCCCACCAGCAGTATATAGGAGAGTTCCAGTTGCTCTGCATCTTTGTCAACACTTGGTATGATCCATACTTTAAATTTTAGCCAATGTAGTGAATGTGTAGCAGTACATTATTATAGTTTTAATTTGCATTTCCCTAATGACTAATGATGTTAAACAACTTTTCATGTGCTTATTTCCATTTAGATCTCTTCTTTGGTAAAATGCCTGGTCAAAAATTTTGCACATTTCTAATTTAATTGTTCGATTTCTTATGATTGAGTTGAAATTTTTTTAATGTATTCTAGA